CGCACGACGCACGGCAAAGTCCTTCTCGAGAGTCGCGCGCAGTTCCGCTTTCGCCTGCTCGATCTCGCTCGCCCTCTCTGCACCGACACCACCGTCCGCTGTCGGTGCCGGTGAATCGTGCGCCCCACACGTGGTGGGTGCAGATCGGATGGCTCGCATGCGCACCTCAAAGTCGCGCCGCTCCACCTCGCGTAGCCTCCGCTCTTCCTCGAGCTGTCTCTCGAGCTCCGCATCACGCTGTCCTCCCGCACGCTCGACTTTGCCCTGAAGCTGGTCGACCAGCCCTTGCATGCGCGCGTCTTTGGCCTCGGCGTCTGCCACCAGCTCGGCGTACTGCGCCGAGAGCTGCGTGAGTGCTGCGCGCACCTCGTCGAGATCGGCATCCTTGGCGTCCCAGGTGGCGCGCAGATGTGCCTCGTCGCGCTCCTTGGCGTCGAGCGCGGTCTCGAGCGAGTCGATGTAGGCGGTCGACGCCTGCAGCTGTGCCAGCAGCCGCGCCACGCGCGAGTCCGAGAGCTCGGCCAGCGAGTCGAACGCCGACGCCACGCCTGCCAGCTCTGCCACGCCGAGTTCGGCCACAGGCTTGGTGGGCAGCCGCGCCAGCTGCATGCGCGAAAAGCGCGCCGCTGAGGGAGAGTCCGAGTGCTGCGGAGACCACAGCGACACCTCGCGCTCCCTCTTGGTCGATACGTCGGGATGCGCTTTGGCAGCGTCGCTGCTCGTGTCGGCAGCAGGCTCGACCTCGCGCGAGCTGTCGGTACAGCCACTCTGCTTTCTGCCGGACGATGACGAGCACGACGACGACAAGGAGCGCGAGTCGTGTTCGTCGATCTGCGGCGATTCAGACGTTGCCTGAGGCGATGCGACCGCATCCTTGATGCCATCCCTTGGCTGCGCTGCTGCTGGAGCGGGTGAAGGACTCCATTTCGGCGTGCCGAAAGCAGCTTCCGGAGTGAGGCTTGCGTGTATTGCAAGCTTTTCCGCTGGAGAGGAGACATGTGGCGTGGCTGTCGCTTGCTGAGGGCGCTGCGAGGCGGGAGTAGCAAAGGAGGCAGATGTTGCGGGAGACCACATATGAGATGGTGTGCTTGCAGCTTTAATGACATCCAACCCGCCTTGGGGTGTTTCCGGATAGGGTGACGCATAGCTCTCCTTCGCTGGGCTTTCAATAAAAGACCGTTCTGCTGGAGTCGCAAGTGACCTGTCTTGACTCGCCGCTTTTTCCGTGCTGCTTGGTGTCTGAGGAGCATTTCTGGCAGAGCTGAAGCTGATCGACGGTGAGTCCATCCTGCGCGGTGCGCCAGCCAAGGGGCTAGAAGGCAAGATGCGAGAGGTGCCTCCGTGCGGCCAGTCACGGGGAGAAGTGACATTGGCTGTCGCGCCCTCCGTACTTGCATGGCTGCTGGGACTCTGCCACTGACGCGAGGAAGAAGACGATGCTGGAGAGAAGTTGACGACACGTGACAAGGGCGACGACCTGGCGGGCGTCACCATGCGGAGACGCATAAACGACTTGGGAGTGTTAGTCGAACGAGGTGCCGACTGTGGTGTTGGCGGCTTCGACTGAGGTAGAGGGGAAGGAGATGCTGCTTTGGATTGAGCTGGACTGCTGGATTCGCCGAGCGGATTCAGGACGGCTCGATTGGGCGAAGGGGTCACCTGTCCTGGAAGCGGTGGAAGCTCGACTGCTTTGGAGGCGTCTGAATACGGCAAAGAGTGCGTGGAGGCATTTGCAGAGTTTTCTTGCTCGACAACATCCTGCGCCGAGGAGTCGTGCTGAAGCTTGGCACTGTCTGATTGATTTGCGGGAGAAGCCGGTATGCTGGAAGTGTCTTGAATGTACGATTCCTCGGGCACCATGGAGAGCCCCTCCTGCCAGTCGCCGTGCGCTGCGAGCTCCGTGCTGTAGTCATTGGCTTGATGGAGTCTTGAAGCGATACTAGGCGAGTGCAAGGCTGGTCCGGGTTGATGAGAAGATGCAGGTGAGCGCGTTGGTGACAGAGACGCGTCGGGAGACGGCTGGGCGTCCTGGATGTCCTCTTCCCCAAGCTGCACCTGCGTGCCATTGTATCCTGTTCTGACGGTCGGACTGCAACTGGGGCTACTGCCGTCGGAGGAGGCTGGGCTGTCGAGCATGCCAGCCTCTGCCATGCGGGTGCGCAGACTCTTGCCTGTGAATGGCGTTCTGGGATCTGGTCGGAGCGGTCTTGCGGTGACCGTGGGTGAAGAGGAGGTGCGGTAGCGTGGTGATGAAGAGGAGGGCGAGGGAGATGAACGCTGTGTGGCTTCATCCAGGCCCGCGAGCATATGCGCACCTGCCTGTCGAAGGAAGCTCTCGCTGAAGGATGCATTGCTGTAGTCGAAGGTGCCCAGGCTGGACCCCATGCTCTCGTTGGCGTCCTTGGCCATTCTAGGTGATGCTTTGCGCGCGACGCTCAGGCGTGTGGCGGAGCGCGATGACGAAGCATCCGGGCTTGGAGTCCATGCCGCACTAGATTCGCCGCCCAGTTTTGCCGGAGTGAGGCCGACAGGACCAGGTGAGGATCTCGAGACGCGAGGCACGGGTGTAGTTGGAGCAAGGCGAGATGAAGAAGGTGGCGACAAGACGGCCGACGATGGTTGTGTGGTGCGGTGCTCCTGCTGGTCGGTCAGAAGGGGCGAATCGTCGGCGAAGTATTCGGCCATGCTCAGATCGGATGCTGCCGATAGGTCCGAGAGTCCGCTCTGATCAGCGCCGATGGATGCATTCATGGCGTCGGAGTGCCGCTTCTTTCCCTATCGATGTGATGTGAACAAAGGAAGGCGGTGTCGACCAGACGTGGATGAGTGGTGGCAAACGACGAGCATCGAGCCGACTCTCCAGCCGCGGATGTTCCGAAGCTGCGAACCCTGCATCTTTTACGCTGGGCCAGCAGAGCAGTCTCCTCTGCCTCCTCCACTCCTTCATTCCGACAGCCGCTGCTCCACGGTCGGAAATGGAAGCACACACGCCGACATCACAAAAGCGCGCTCCTCCGTTGGGTGAAATGCGGCTTCGTGTTTTGGCGCGTTTCCCCCAGAACGTCACGTGCCTTGGAATTTTTTCGAGCGGTCCACATTTTTTGAGAAAGAAAAGAAAGAAAAAAAAAGCGGCCGCAGGGCCGGTTCCCGCGAGGCTACAAAAAGCTCAGCCCTGCACCCCAAAGAGACCTTCCGTCCCCTCGACAGCTCCTTGGCGTCCACCTTCCCCCAGTCCCCTCTCCATATACCCAGTGGCTCGTCCACACACACACACACA